AATAAACAAATAAACCTATCAAGTTTCCACTTGGCAACAGCAATGGAAGAAGCCAGAGGTTCATGGGGATTTCCTTATTAGTAGTCAATATATACTTGAAAGTGTGGAGATCTACCATGGAAGGATAAATCGTTCCGCTAAATAATAATCCATACCGGATTTATAACCATTTCTCCAAACCAATTTGTGAGTATACTTAAAAGAGACTGGAAAATGGGTGGGGAACAATTGTTTTGGGTCATTAACTAAGTACTTTGAGGTAAAATAATGCACTCAAGAATTTTTTACCATCTTTCACAACTTGAACTAAAATAATGATATCTTGACACGTTTTACTGCAGATGGAAACACAAACATTTTGAATTAGATTGAAAGAATTCACATTGCCGTAGATGCTACACGTGGTGATCCATTTTCTAGCAAAAACTTCTAAGTCCATCGTTTATTTATTTATTTATTTTTAATAATAGCTAAATCAAGCCAATTATCTACTTATCTGGTTTTTTCCTTTTAAATAGAATCGTGTTTTAAAAGTTACGTTTCTTAATTTTGAGTGAAATTATATAGACATTCCTAGTCTTTTAGATCAAGTCAACAACAAATGAACAGTTTTTTCCCACATTACTTTTACTGGGGGTGCCTATAATTTCCAGTCAGTTTAGGAGAATTAGGAACAAGGGACAAGGGCATTGCATTGAGTTTAGCACCTTAGCAGTTAGATGCTAGATAGAGATGTGTGGTATCGTTACAGACTATGGTTTGATGATAAATTGATTAATTAATTGATTTCTAATAGAAGCTTCCAATTTTCCCAATTCCAAAACCTTTTTAAAGTATATTGTACTACAAGCAACATTACATGCACATGACCTTAAAATATCAAAATTTTTTCATTTACATAAAATTATGTTTGAAAGCAACTTTTTTCAGTTTTAAGTCTTGACCTTAATTTAAGAATTCTAGTATTGACTTTTTTTATTTAGGTAAAATTTTATTTGAAAGTAACTTATTTTTAGTTTTGAGTTTTGATCTGGACTTAATAACTCCAGCAAAGAAAGAAATTAAGTAGAGGATTGGGGAGTTAATGGAGATTAACTTCATGATAAGGAGTAGTCAATATGCTTTAAACCTTGAAAATGCATAGCACAAAGCATATATCAATATTGTCTGACGTTAATATCACAAACTTTGTGAAAATTCCAAGTGTAGGGACAACGGAAGTGAAAAATATAAATAATATATATGGACAAACTAAGACTTTATAAGCCCAAATTTGAAGCTTCTAAAGCAAAAAAGTAACTTATATGTACGGTAACCATTCTTAAAGTTGTGCTATCTTGTTTAAAAATATTTACCAAGCTATTTACCTTTCATCAACAAAATATAAAGATAAATTGAAATTTTAAATGCAACAAAAAATAAGAATTAACCTAAACTAATTATTTCGGTTTGAGATGGCTAAGTCCCTCTATCTCCATGTCTTAAAAAAAGACAAAATAAAACTCGTAGAGGATGGGCAAACTTGATGTTACAGCTTCAACTAATATAAATACGAAGATGTTGAAAAATTCAAATGTAAAAGTTTTTTTGAAATTAATTTTACAAATAAAATGAATTACTTTTTTATTTATTCCCGAACATCATAAAATTTTTAAAACTTGAGAATTTCTCTAACAACATGTGAAATTTCAGTAGGTGAGATTCAATCTAAAATTTATATCTAATTTAAAATTAATTGATAATAAATCAAAATTTATATTTATTATGTGAATTTTGGGTTAATAAATGGATTTAATATACTCTCTAATCATGTAGAATTACCATGAAATCTCAGACTTTCTGAAAATGAAGATTGGGTTTTAAAAATTAAATATGTAAATTTTAATACAAAATTTATATCTAATTTAAATTTTATTGATATTAAATTAAATATTGTTTATATTTAATTCATATTTTTTATTATTTTAATAATATAAGATTTTTTTTCACTTCGCACTTAGAGTAAAATGCTAACCACCTTCCATTTTGATTTTTGTATTAAATATTATCCCCTAAAAAATAATAATATACCAAAACAAGAAAAATAACCAAATCCACGAACACTCAGAGATCTCTGTCATGCACAAGGGCCATGGATCACAAGTCTAGCCAGTTGGTCATCTCCGCAGCTATACATTTATGATGATTTGATCCTAATTAATTTCTGCTTCCAAATTGCGTTAGGCAAGGGCCATTGGTCACAAGTCTAGCCAGTTGGTCATATCCGCAGCTGTACATTTATGATGATTTGATCCTAATTAATTTCTGCTCCGAAATTGCGTTAGTCAAGGGCCATGGATCACAAGTCTAGCCAGTTGGTCATATCCGCAGCTATATATTTATTATGATTTGATCCTAATTAATTTCTGCTCCCAAATTGCGCTGCTTCTTCTCAATTACCTTTTACCCACAATCTATCAACTGTCAGGTGTACCATCTGTCAACTGTCAACACACCCTTTTAACAGTACATCGACCACCCCAAGCTTCACCAATATTGAGAAATAATGCTACCGCAACTTAGACCTTAATGAGGTGGCATAACTGAATTATCCTTCTTATATGTTAGATTAGTTAAGTTTCAGCGATTCAAATCTTAAATCAATAGATGCAATGTATCTCTTTAAATCTTAGAAATTAATCAATAAATACATTAAAATATCTCAAATTATTTTTATATATTTACATCAAATATTTAATCTTAAATCAATATAACATTAGAGTCAAAATAAACCTATACGACTATGTTCTTTGCTATGTACTAGGACTAATATATGTATTCATAACAAGTTCAACCAATTCATTTCACCCCAGCTCTTCTTTAGAGTACCCTCTTAGAAAGTTTCAAACTAACTGATTATCTAAATAAGAATGGTAAGAAAAACGCCAACATGGATTGTCTCCATTGGACAATCATTGCCATTTTTTCTCAAACTATGGATAGTCTTGTTACTGGTGGAATCTTGTTCGGGTACAGATGCTGAACATACCGTGAAAGAAGAAAGCTAGCCACAGAGAGACTAGCTAATACCATATGTAGTTGCAGAGAACTAGGAGGTACTCCGGATCTTAAGTCTTCACTTCGGCTATCCTGCAAGGCCCCGAGGTTGGTTCTCGGGGTAGACACTCCGATGCTTAAGTCAGCTATAATCAGAGCTACTAGTTATGGAAATGAGGGTAAAAGATGAGTTTAGAGTTAGTTTTTATACCTCTGTGAGGGGGACCCTGGGGGGTATTTATAAGCCTTCAAGGGGGTGTCCACGTGTTGAGTCTTCCGAGAGATCAGGACAACAGGTGTCAAACATCGCAGGTGCTTCTCATGAGAGACTAGTGTGCATACGGAATTGTTGTGGAGCAAGAGCAGAGGGGACGAGCTCGAGTGCGATCGAGCTCGTCACCCTTCAATCAGATTGAGGTAGCTAGGTATTGGAGGCTGCTCCGACTGTCCGAAGTTGTGCACCACGGATAGCTGCGAGGTGCATGACTTTGGACTGCGCTTCGTGCCTCATCTCATGACCTCTGCCTGGCGTCATACCTCTGCTATCTCATGACCTCTGTCGTCATACCTCTGTTATCTCATGACCTCTGTCATCATACCTCTGTCTACCACCACTACACTATTCCCCCCCACGAAGTCATTCACTTGTGAATGATGTGGGAGTTTGTGTTGGTGTTGAGTTGAGGGGCGAATAGCATGGTATGGAGTCAAAGGGGTGTGGCCGAAGGCGAAGTGAAAGGTAGGATGACATGTGGTCATGGGGTACGGCCAGGGCCGAAGTGAAAACATCATGACATGTGATCATGGGGTACGGCCGGGGCCGAAGTGAAAACATCATGCCACGTGGTCATGGGATACGGCCGGAGCCGAAGTGAAAAATATCATGACACGTGGTCATGGGATATAGCCGGAGCCGAAGTAAAATATATCATGACACGTGGTCATGGGATATGGCCGGAGCCGAAGTAAAAAATATCATGACACGTGGTCATGGGATACGGCTGGAGTCGAAGTAAAAAATATCATGACACGTGGTCATGGGATACGGCCGGAGTCGAAGTAAAAAATATCATGAGTTAAGATTGTCCAAGAAAAGCCATTATGTAATTCCCCCTGGAGGAGCTTGAAGTGAATAGGAATGAAAGAAAATGGAATATAATAAAATAATTTAATCTGGGTTGACAGTTGTCCTCGCACGCCGTGCTGTAATAAATGTTGTCAGGAATAACTGCTGAATTCGAAGGGACGCGATTATAGCCGTTGGATTTGATTGATCGTGGCCGTGAAAACGAGGGAGAGGCTGGGTATAAATAGCCGGCCTTAAGCCATTCCTAATTTCACCTTGCTGAATTTATAGCGAAACCCTGCCGAAATCGTGAGAGAGCACCTCGTCTTCGGAGCTGATGGTTGCGGAGATCGTGGTAGTTGCCAGAATTTATCAAGTGTTAGACTTCGTCACAGAAAACCAGGTAACTCTGATCTCTACCTCGGTCAATGGTAATCTTGTTTTATTTTATTAACCTAGGCAGGGGGGGTTAGACAATCAATAGGAAGGTGGGGAAATAAAAGATAGAGATTATAGGTGACTCTGATCACTGTTGGTGCCGCGCTTCTTGTAGTGAAGACATAGTGGAGATGTCGTCTGAAGGAACTCTAAGTGTTGGAGGAGCAGAGGGGGTAAGGGACGTTAGTTCGAGTTCGATCTCAACTTCGAGCTCGATCTCAACTTCGAGCTCGAGCTCGAGCTCGAGTGGGGGAAGTGGGGGTAGGACCTCTGTTAGTGGGGGATATAAGGGTCGAGAGAGTAGCCTTGTGCCAACCAACATTTTAGAGGTTGGTGAGAACCGGGGGAAGTGCTATAATGAGAGCGAGGAGGTGGTGGGGGAGGTGGTAGGGTATGAATCGTGCTGGAGGTGCAGGGGAGAGCTAGGGCACTTGGTAGAGAACTACAGTATCCTACCTCATGTGCTGGTAAGGCTAGCAGGAGGTGAGGAGCGAGCGTGTTCGGCTCCAAAAGACCATTGGATGCCACTAAACGCGCACTACCTGGCAGCTGGACTTCAGTTCCCAATTCTGGAGTTACTGGTAACGCTCCTGAAGAAGTATGGGTTGGGGTTAACGCAGCTCGTTCCCAATGGGGTGCGGTTGGTGGTGGGTTTTTTAGTGTACTGCCAACTCCGGGGGGTGTGAATTCCAATCGTAGATTTATTTAAATATTTCTTTATAATCAAGGGGGGTAGTGGGAAGGAGAAGGGATGGTTCTACTTTACACCTCGGGTAGCTGGAGGTAAGAGTAGGAACCTGTTCACTGTAGGTCCTTCTTCTATTAAGGGGTGGAAGGAGAAGTTTTTCTTTGTGGATGATACGGAGTGGGGGAGGGGGGATGGGGAGGTGGAAGAGCTTAGTAAGTGGAAGGGGAAGAGGAGAAATCTGAACCAATACCGGTTGGGGGAGGTGGAGAAGGACGAGGTGAAGAGGTTAGAGAGGGGTGGGGGCGAACTGATGAACATAATGTACCTCACCAATCCAGAAGTGGGGGAGTCGTCTGGAATCTATGGGACGAGCTTGTTGAGCAGAGGTCTGTGTTAATTAAAGTAAGGTTCTTTGTAGAGTAGGTGTCTGATTGTAATTTTTTGACCTCATTTGGTTTTGCAGAAGAAATGAACCGTTTGAGAGATGGGGGTAGACTCGTACGATTACCGGAGAAGAGGCCAAGGGTGTCAGCCCCTGGTGCTCAAGAGGAATGGGTTGGAGGTGGGACTTCAAGGCCTCACCCAGGTGGTGGACCTCGAGCTGAGGTGGGGCCTAGCTCTGAGCCTAGGAGGGGCGCAACTGAGGAGGTTGCCACCCGGAAGAGGTCAAGGGTGGAGGAGGTGCAGCCTCTACAGATTGAGGCGCCGACCGAGTTCGTGCCTCGGCCAGCCCTAGTGCAGATCGACCCGGCACTTCGGGAGACTGAAGTGGTGGCGCCTGGGAGGGGGAAGAGCTCTGTTCCCTACCCTCGGCAGGTGGCCAGCTTCTACGACTCGGGAAGGACGGCTGCGAAGCGCTTCATTGGCGCCCACTTCCTTGAGGTGGATCTGCAGAGGGCAAAGGATGAATTGGCTGCCAATGGGGGATTTGGGGTAGTTCGGCAAGCCCTGGAGGTGAGCTCGCACTTTAGTTAGTTTCAGTTCGGTTTTTTTTTTTTTTTTTTTTTTTTTTTTTT